TGTGTATTGTACATGCTGTCTTGCGATAAGCGTTAGTAGACGATCATATCATACATTTCCTGATGGCCCTATTGGCGCTATCACATCACCAACACATGTTGTAAGTTTCGCTGCTCCCTGTTCTATCATCGGCTTTCGAAAGTGTGCAAACTGTTTTAGCAAATTTACTAGAAGTACCTTGCACAACATTTATTTATCTAATATCTCAAATGAGTATGTCGTGGGACACCTGGGCACCATGTTATCTTCACAGCAGGGTTTGGAATGGAACCACTTAGACATGGCTTGAGAAAACAATTAACGATTAAATCTCCATACTCATGATGTGATTTGCAATGAAAACAGTGAGCATTGCATAATTAATCACATGAGGGTAGACAAACAATGGGTATCAAGTGCCTGGGCAGATGGCGCCGATAAGGTGGTTAACTGAACGTATTATATTCCCATGCGACCTGGATTTCTCATCGTAATTTTACCGCTTACAATTTACTAACAATCTGTCATCATACATCTCGGTTGCGGCTATTCTTCGAAACAAATCATTGTTGCTGTGCTGGATTTATTTTCCAATTAAATATTTATTTAAACACTACCGTAACACCATAGTTGAACTAATCTACTTTTAAGTCAATCTAGATGATTGGTCATTTCCAATCTAAATTGTAGAAGGAACGTTTGCTCTTCCGCACCTTATCTCGATAAAAGCTGACTTATCCTAACGTCAGTGTGAGCGATGTACAGCTGGAAATATAGCTACACTCACTCTTGTGACTAATATATGAAACAGAACATGTAGCATCAACATCAGCATGTTAATCGCTAGTCAGTGACTTGCTTACACGGACAAGCCAACGTGTGGACACTTGCAAAAAAAGTTGTTGTGTAGTGAACACCGAATTTCCAAACTGCATTCCAAAGTGAGGAAGGGTTGTTGAGTGTTTGAACTCCAGGGATAATTGTTGATCACTACACCCAATTGTTCAATCCAATGTACGAACGAGTGTGGAATACTGTAAGCAGCAACCGCTTGGTACCCAGGAGTTAACGCGACCCATATATATATATATATATATATATATATATATATATATGGTTGGCGGCATCCGGTTTCAGATTTGCCTGTCACTTTGGCCAGCCACTGGACGCCTGCGCCTACAGAAGGACCATGGGTGGCTTGCGCTGCACCATCCACAGCTCCAACCACACACCCCATATCCAGTGTAAACCCGAAGGAATAACACCGGTAGGCATGTGGATGAGAGCCACGTTTCATCAACGGAGCCGGCCCACACTCCTTCAACAAGCAGAATGGAAGCATTCTGACCCAATTGGGAAATCATACACACTAGACGTACATGAGGCGGTGGCTGGACCGTAGTCCGCTCCACACTGAGTGCATGGAACCGCTCTTGGAGCCTAGCACGACTACAACGACCGTGCACCCCGTCCCCTCCAGCAACGACCAACTGTCTCCTGAAGCCAGTATGAACGAGGTAGTGGGTAATAGACAGGTAGGCATCTTGTCAACATGCACATCAAGCGCAGCCACACCGGGGATTTCAAGCAACAGCCATTCACTTGAAACGACAAGCTGAAATAAAATAAATCCAGTAATGCATACAGATACGGTGGCATAACTCTTCCTTAAATTACCATATGAAGTTGGTTAGCAACGAATCCGCGATGAGTAAGAAATGTCCACAGGTTATTTAAAAATGCTACAAACGCAACAAAATTACCGAAGATAAGCGCAATTGGCGTAAGCAACGTGGCCATTTAATAGAACATTATTCAGGTAGGCAGAACAAACCAAATAAAGTGGAATGAAATGTATCCAGCTTAAAAAGACCTAGTTTAAGTGTAAGTTGGTTTAGCCCAACTGCGGTGAAGAAGCATCAAGAATGCAACATCATGCAACAATATATATATATATATATACTCAGAAAAATAAAGCAGTTATAGTTTCCAATCAACTTGTGATACAAGAAGTGGAATTCAATTGTCAAAGTTCAAGTATGTCGAAAAGGACGTGATTACATCTGTATTACTCCTATTAGTATTGCTTATATTTCAGTAGATTAGTGGTTTTCTGAATCAACATGCCATGCTGCGCCATGCTGCTGGATGCCTTGAGAACAGCTGTTACTAGGCGGGTAAACAGCGTGGGCAAACTCAGCCTGACTCCTCACGTTCGAAGTTGGGAGTGGGTTGTTACTCGTTTCCGGAGAAGTATTTCATCTTATAGACCATTGCAATGGCTAGGCTGTTGCACACATATGTTAACTGAGGGTTTTATTGTTCTCCTGCCTAGGTATCGGTGCTAGGATAGTATCTCAACTCACGTGCAACTACGAATTCAGTCTAATGACGCATCGGCCGTCGCGCAGTTTCAAAAGAGTTATGTTCTGTTAGAGTAGGGCAAGCAAGTAGGAAAGTTGCCTCTGTTGGTACTCCCCCCTCTCTGTTCCACCTATATTGTACACTTCTTCGATCAAAATAAATACCATCACTGAAGTGGTCGCCAGCGTCAGCGACCACAGATACAGTGTCAATGAAGTAAAAATGAATAAAAATATCAGAAGACTAAGGTTGTGGGATGACACCGTCAGTAAGTGCATGATCGCTGGCCAGGAACATGCAACTAACGAGTATGCACGAAATACCAGTGTCATCTCACAACCTACGTCTGCTGATATTCTTATTTGGAAATTACTGTGGTTTTCCGCTGAACGTGCTGTTAACAGAGTAGGCACACCATTCGAGCAGCCGGAACAGTTTGCCATGACGTAGACCGAAGTTTATTGGCTAACCAATGAGAGCGGGCTAATGATGACGCTTCACCTTGAACGCTATTAAGGAGGATGGTCTACCTTGAAGCCCGCCAGTGAGCGCTAGGCCATTCCCTTATTAACTATTGATTCGACCCCATTATTTGATTTGCTTATACTGCTTGTCGGGTGCGCAATACAGTTTTCGCCTGAGGCCTTTGTCTTCTAATCTGGAAAGTCGGTCGATCAGTTTGCGTGGTAGCAGCAGGTTATCCGTACAATCAGCAGAAATCACAACAGATATTGGCGACAGAGGTGAACTAAATCAGGATGTCAATAGCATCAGAAGAATTTAAGGCTATTTTGTCACAACAGCAGCAGCAATTTGAAGTCGCACAGCTGCGAATGGTTGAGACGCTCACCCGAACGTTATCGCTTCAGTCCACACCTCTCCAAAATACTGGGAAGCCTTCAGCAGACGCAGTGATCAGCATCGTTAGTGGGTTCATTATTAATCCTGATTCAGGACTAATACTCGATGCTTGGTTCAGGCGCTATAAAGAGGTTTTTAGTACAGAGTTGTCAAATCCCGATGATGCATCAAAAGTTTGTCTGCCGTTACGAAACTGGGAACGGTCGAGTATGACAAATATCTCAGCTACATTTTGCCAAAGAGTGAACATGATTTTAGCCTTGATTACACAGTTCCTCGGCTCACAGAAATGTTTGAAGACCAGTCATCGCTTTTTTAATAATCGGTACAATTGTCTGAAGCTTTGCAAGAAAGACTGACAGTTTTATTGCTCATGCAGTACAGCAAAGTCTGAATGCCAGGAATGTAAACTAAAGTCGCTTAATGAAGATCAGTTCAAGTGTCTGATACCAGTGTGCAGTTTGCAGTCTGCCAAAAATTCAGAAATCCGGACCGGTTTGTCGGAACGCGACCCGGATGTCATATTACAGAACGTTGTTGCTGAAGCCCAGAGGATCATGAATTTAAAGCACGATACAACTATGGTGGAGGATTCAAAAGCGGATACTGGTGATATTACTATCCAGCAAGTTTCCAGAGGCAACACCTCGGCAAATGAGCACGGGATATGTCCACAAGCTAAACCCCAGCTGCTTGCTGGCAATGCGGAAGTTGGTATTTTGTGAAATGGTGCCTCTTCAGCAAGTACCTCTGTCAAAAGTGCCATAGACGTGGGCACAAGGAGACCCAATGCAGGTCTAACCTACCGTTTGAGATGCCATGCACTACCAGAAGCGAAGGTCACTGGAAATTTGCAAGAAGGGTAAATGCCAACTTCTCCGACGATGTTAAAGACAGAAGACAGTTTGTTACTATCAGCATCAACGGGCGGCTGGCGCGTTAGCAAACTGACACGGCGTCCGATAACAGTTACTTCCTTCAAGGTGAAACGTTCCCAATGGTTCGTTCTCACTAGCTGGGCAAAAAGCTACAGGATGCAACGGGGTCATACTGTTTCGGGCTATTAGTGAGAGAACCAGCTCCGAAAACTGTTGTTGACTGGCTCTTTTAATCGAAGTATAAAACGAATTTCATGCTTCAGAAGTCAAAACGATTAAAGAGATGCCAACATGGCACGCTGTAGCCCCCTGCCAGGTCTTGCTTCCGGCTTTCTTAGTGGTGCTCAATGCTCGAGCTGTAGGTGCAAGCAAACTGGATACCTTTGGTGTCGACTTAAACAATGTCTCGAATACTGGAGCCAACGATTATCCCGTGGATGTGGAGCTAGCGCAGCCTGGCCTACTGATGGAGGCGTCCTAAGCCGATGAATCAACAAGCAGAGATTATGCTGTTTGTGTATCTTTTTCATCTTTGGGACTGATGACTTCCCGGCTGATTGGATTCCAATGAGCAACTGTCTGTTAAGCGACACGCGCTGTTGTTTGTGGATGGTGCCTATGCTTTCATCATGCATGCAGTCGTGGTACTGCGTTATCACAAGAACTTGCATGTTACTTCGCGGTATCACCCGCCCACAGGTAGTTCCGGTTCCTGTCGTTATGAAAACCAAAGTATATAAGAATGCAGTCCACATGCTATGGGGACCAACATTCTAAAGGGACCACTTTTATCGGTCCCTAGAGTGATCGTCTTAGACTGTAGTATCAACGAAGGGCTCCGGATCAGCAAGAAGCGGAATCAACTTCGTTATACCGCTAGTCAGTTGCTAGGTGAAACCATGAAAAACAGCCACCCACCTGACGGGCATGTCGGTTCCACTCAAATTAATGAAAAAATTCCACCGCCAATGCTTGAATTTTGTGACCAGCTCATGCATGACGGAGAGTATCATCCAGAGTAGATCCGTTGCACCCCAGGATGTCGCCCATCTATTCGGAGTTACATAAACGTTTTCCGGGTAAAGCCGAGACAGGGAAGAAGCCTGGTTGAACAGATAATTGGAACGCTGAAGTGAAAGGTAAAAAGCGAAAAGCAAATGTTGCTTGAGTCAAGAAATAGGTCGATATCTGCCAAACACATCGCTAGAACATTGAATGAAATGCTAGGGAGAATTAAAGAACCTGTGGAAGGTTGACGAAAATGTAGAGCAAGAATTGTGGGAGCGCATACGAAGATGCAGCAGAACTGCGCATGAAGACAGTAAAGCGTAGAGGATAAATATTGAGTACAAAAAGGTGAGTTGCAATATAGGGCTTCAAAGCATATACAAATAGTCACAGTGCATGCCTAAAGAACGAGGGCGCGATATCAATTTCATAATCGTTAGGATCTTCAGGAGTCGACTGCCATATACACTAAACAGCAGTGTCTACATCAACTGTAGGGTGAACAGAAAAGTATAAAGTATGATGGGCTGCCTTGAGTCAACTATTTTGAAATGTTGGAGGACTGAGTTCGTCTGCCTAGAATTTGATAAGCGTCTCCGGATCAGGACCGATGAGGTCTAGCCACGCAACTCTGTAAGTGTTCTCAGTCCGCATTGCATAAAACCGGTTAACTCTGACGCTAGAAGTGAACAGGAAAGCCGATAATTAATGACGATCCTTAAGAACTGTAAGACTTACTAGGAGTTTTAAATGGACCGAAGAAATAGACCTATTTGTATAAAAATGCATTGCAACAAGAGAAGCCGTTCAATAAGAAAGAGAAAACCTGCGCTTCCAAAGGAAAGTGCGGCCCAAAATACAGAATGACCTATTGTAAGTCAAAATATCTCAGTGACAAACAATGGGCCCTCTAGAAAGGGATTGGTTGACCAATGAGTTATGGGAAGGAGTAAAGTACATACAACAGAAATGATTTGACCACAGAGAGAACAGTGGGGCTAAATGGATAACTGCAGCCAGAAACAAATCATACCAGTTGTCGAGTGGTAGGATGACGGGTGAGTTAGCCTGTGTTCAATTGAGATGCAATCTCAAGTAGACAACAAACTGAGATCACCATGAACGGCGTGGCAAAATGCACCGACTTCATGAGAATGTTTCTAGACACAAAGATGACCAATAGTGGAAATAGAGATCGCCCGTATGAATTCAAGAGCGAAGAGGATACTTAGAATCTAGGGCTGACACGTCTATATGGTTAGCCATCTATTGTCGCCAGTGTTATCGGTGGATCCGGAGCAGACGAATGGACAAAACGGTCAACCAGGAACCATGAACTGGCCGATCGATAAGTGGTAGTTAACAATTCGAAACTATCAGGCACGGCGCAGTGGTGGTTGATCGATCGGATCAGTAGTTAAATTCGCACGCAGTATAACATGACCTTTTGTCAATAACAGTAGATTGCTAATCGCACCAAAAAATTCGTCTTAATTCTAGAAGAGCTACGATATAAAGTGAAATAGGGAAGGCACATTTAAAACATGAATTGTGATATTAAGTGAACGAGGGCTCTCTGCAGAAGAACTGGCGGCTATGGTAAACAGTGAGTGGACTTTGCAATATCGACACATTTAAACACATAACCAGTGAGCTATCAATTGGCGATGTTTCGGTATGTTAATGGGAATGGGCAAGACGCGCGCAGAAGACAGAGAAAATTGACGACGAATCTCTGGATCCTAACATTTCCGCAGTGATCAGAAGACAGTAAAAAAGAAAATTATTAACGTTACCGAGCTGAAACATCAAACAAGGACGTTAAAACTGTTGCGACTACATATACATGACCCACTGATAGGTGATCGAGTCATTATAGGCATTGTTGTGGTGACGTTGAATGTACGGCTAACCTGCTGCTATCGTGCAGCTGACCGTCGCCAGAAATGTGTTTTGGTTTCCGCTAACTTTATGGATAACCTTCCTGAAATCTGCTGTGCTGCCCTCAACCAGTTCAACCCGCCACGAAATGAGAATACCAAAACCAGCTGGACCGAGGGATTCCGATTCTGATTCTATTGTATGAGAGCATGGCGCAATAAATAGGTTGTAGGAAACCACTAACACAACAAAATTGGAGATGCTAATTAATATTAATTAACACAAATCAAACGGTTCAAGTTCATGGTCCAACTTGCCGTTGATTCCACATAGATTCGCATTTTGATCTTTACTCGAGTTCGCCCTCTAATTGTAGATCGATCCACTGTTGCGCTACGCTTCTCGGCTTGTGCGCTGGTTCTCCGTAACAGGTATCCATAACGAACATATAAACCGAAAACTATTACGATTGAAGTAAGTAGTCAATAGAGTAAGCTATAATTTGCAAAAGTGGGAGGGTAACAGAACCCAAGTTCCGTCAGATACATCTGACAAAATGGCTCAACTTTGTGCAGTTTCTCAGTCTGAACATTCTGTATAACAAACTGATACAGCATGCGAACAAACCTTTCAACAAGGTGGCTGCAGCCGCTCTCCAAAAATAATGTCCAACCTGGGGAAGAACCTGCAGAGATGCAGGAAGTAATATCGATTCGCAGATGCGGTCGATTGAACAAGGTCAACACAATGAACTAGAAAGACCCAAGAGTTGCTCAGAATCTCTCCATCAATAAGATGGAATATCGGGAAAATAAGAGGAGTGTGTACGCGAGGCTTATTGTTGGAAAACAAACAGTGTGTTTCCAATTGGACGACGAGAATCAATGCGCTAGAGAACAGTCAAAAAAGCACGACAGCCTCAAAATGTGGAATGGCTCGAAACTCTAGCCGAAGGACAATGTCATACTGAAAGTCACAAATCCGAAGAATGGAGGAGGTCATCAGCATGAGCTCGTGGTTGTTACAGCAGGCCTCATACTCATCCTGGGCATTGATTCTATTTAGCAGCTGAGCTTTTCTCTGTTACCCACGATCCCTTTGTGCATTCGTGTCATGCAGCCATAGACATTACCGGTCTATATCCTAGCGTATTTGATGGAGTAATTGGACGGGTCCGTCATGCCTGTAGCTTTAGAGGCCAAACTGGTATTCATACTTACTATGACCGCTGAGATGAAAATCAAACCCCTATGGTTAAGAAGACTAAAACAACCAGAGATTCATGTTTGATATGACCCAAAAACGCATCTTTATCTCAGATATCGAGGTGGTACTTCAACCTTTCCTCAATTACAATATTAGGAAGAAAGATAACAAGTTGCAAATCGAAAAAGCAAGAACAAGTTTAAGATCAATTGCTTTCTTAACCGTTATGCAGAACCTGAGAAGATGCGACGCAGTTTTCGCGTTCTGATTAGCAGTGAATTAAGCAAGAATAAAGTGAGAGACATGCTAAACATAGACGTGAGTATAACCACGTTGTATGAGGAAGGGCCGCGTGCCACATAGTAAATGACAAAATTCTGTGATTCGAAGTCAACCCACCTCTGCCACGTTTATTATTCATGAAAGAACCTTTTTCCGCATTTCTAACTAACTCTTTTTTGTCCAGAGGTATCAACGAACATATTACGGATCGATTGTCGAAACCCGTCGATATCACTTCCTACACACCCCGGGTGTCCAAAATGGTCGAATTACTGAAGCATCAACTCGTAGCCACTTTTCTTATGAACAGCATGAAAAACTCTTCTTGACGATTAAATGCAAATGTGATCGGATAACTCACACGGTCTGTGTCTCGCACCGCCGAGTATAAATTCTTTACTTTTCGTTTACTTATGATTCTTTTAAATTTGTACCGTAATGTTAAATATTTCTTCTTTCCCAGTGACAGCTCAGTAATAGAGAACAAGTCTAATTGTTCAGCGATATCAATTTTATATTATTCGATCGAATGTAAATGGTGATGAAGTTGAAAATGCTTTCTAGAACTGTCTTGCATGTCGATAATTCGAGCAGCCATCTGTTTTTTACTTTTCCCCAGTACAATTTCATCGGTCACTCTTTCTTACGCAGAAGCAAAACATGCTTTCTTTATTAGTTATCAATACTGTTACCACTCTTCTGCCTCTATATATTTTATGTACATTCTTATTTCATTGTTGGCTACGAGTGGGTCGGTCTCCAGAGATGATGGACAGGAGCTTCCAAGCTAATAATTATACCCATACAAAGCGCATTACCATTGACTCCCCGGCGATAAAAAGGTACCTGACTCAAAAAGCCGGTTGATGGAACGGGCTAGATGGTTTGAGTGTCCACACTATATACACATAAAAATAGCCTTAGAGTTATATACGTAATGGCTTGCTTGCTTTAAAAGCCACATCGGCACACGACTAGAACGCGTATGGAAATGCGGGTGAAACCCATCGAGAGAATATCTAACATGGAAACAGATCCCCAGGAGACGGTTCAATGGATGGCCGTATTAGTTCACCTATACATTTGGATTTAGCTAGTAATTATTTCTGACCTCTTAACCTTCCCAAAAAATTTAACCGATCAATTTGCCATGTACCCAAAAATATAGATTGAGAACTGTTCTGGAAAATTAGAAAGAACATCTGCGCCTTGTGATTCCGCTATGCATCAAGAATCGCAACATCCAGTTGAACGGTGCATCGCACCGTTGAGGAATATACCGGTGTGTATTTTTCATTCGCCACAACTTCATATTGCTCACGCATGAACAAGGCATTACCTGTACGTATATGATCTGTGCTAAGTATAGACGCAGTTTCTCACATTTCTATTATTAGTATTATACTTGTGCGGACTTTTTTACAAGAGACAAAACTTCTTTCCTCACTAGGATCAGTCATGCGGCAATTGTGTGTGCATCGACCCAAATCCGCCCAACGCTGCGCTTGCATAATCGATGCTAGACGATATATTGCCAGCATTGTCAAGGGCGACGGGTTCGACAAAAGCCGAACTCTCCTCCGCATTTTGGCATGTGCTATTAGACAACAAATCAAGCCATCCGACAACGTATGGTACATGGTTTAACCGATTCCGGTGGTTTTGGATTGAAAGTCCCTGACAAAATGTTTCAGAAAAGCCTGGTACAAATATTGGGTGATTTGACGGGAGCCTGTTGGGTCACAGATGA